CCCAGGAGTTAGAGGCTGCAGTGAATTATCATGGCACCACTTTGCTCCAGCTAGGCAACAGAGTGATATATATATATAATATAAATATATATATTATATAATATAAGATAAACCTGATCATGTCCCTCCTTCCCCAAAATCTTCAGCCACACTGAGTACAAACTCTCAGGCAGGATTTGAGCTCAACCTCCTTTTCGAAGATCCTCCATTCCTCTGCCTCCTTCCTGGGTCTCAGGCCAGGGGTTTTCTTTTTCTTTTCTTTTTTTTTTCTTGAGACAGAGTCTCGCTCTGTCACCCAGGCTGGAATGCAGTGGCGCAATCTCGGCTCACTGCAAGCTCTGCCTCCCAGGTTCATGCCATTCTCCTGCCTCAGTCTCTTGAGTAGCTGGGACTACAGGTGCCCACCACCACGCCCGGCTAATTTTTTGTATTTTTAGTAGAGACGGGGTTTCACCGTGTTAGCCAGGATGGTCTTGATCTTCTGACCTTGCAATCCGCCTGCCTCGGCCTCCCAAAGTGCTGGGATTACAGACATGAGCCACTGCACCCGGCCAGGCCAGGGGTTTTCAAACCCTTCCATAGAGCTTGTGTTCACTGGGGGAGCAGGGAGTGGCTGAGCACCTGTGGGTAGACAAGGCATGAGGCTCCAGCACCTATTCCCATCATAGCAGCTCTGATTTGATTTCACACATTTCAGGTAAGATTTCATTTAAAAAAAAAAAAAAAAAAAAAAAAGGTTCTGTTGCTTAAAAGCAAACATTTGAAATGAACTGTCTTAGTCCAAGAGGATGGCACATCTCAGTCAAGGACTCGCAAATCTGCATGCTTCTCCTTTGTTTATTTACTTCAACTGATGTTTATTGATCACTTGCTATGTGCCAGGCACTGGGGACAAGACAGGCTGCCCCTCCCTAGAAGGCTTATAGTTCAGATGAGTGATGATGAATATTTGAAGAAATTAAGGAGCAATATCTTTCCCTTTCTTTCCCCTCACACATCTTTTGTGGTTAATCTCAGATGCCATGGACTTTATAAATCTTTTCATCTGCCTTTCCTACTGGCCAGAAGAACTCTCTTCTCCATATAAAATTTTGTGTGTAGGGGATGTTTGTTGTTTTTCCTGTTCATTTTCCATTCTCTCACCTTCTGGTGGTAGTGGTTGGAACATTCTTTGGGAAACAACCCTCCCTCACCTTCTCCCTCCCAGTTCACTGGGTTCTGGTTAGTCTCCAGGAGTGGGCAAGTGACCCCAGGCCTGGCCAGCTGGCACCTAGAACCTCCTTAGCCACAGCAATTGGTTCATATCTGGCCACCCTCTGACTCTAGTGATTGGTTTGGGATGGATGAATGATCCTAAATGTCTCACAGTGAATCCCAGACATGTGTAGGAGCCTCAGGAAACAGATGCTCTTTTCAGATGAATTTAAGCCTGAAAAGATGTAGACCCAGAATTGTGGGCAGCAATTTCGTTACACTGTAGAGAGTGAAGCCAACATGGAGGAAAGTAGAGCTAAGTGTTGGGAAGAGACTGGATCTTCCTGACACTCAATGAGTGGGTCAAGCCACATCTAAAGCTTGACCCCTGGCTCATTTGTTTGTATTGGCTCAGTTCCAGGAGCCAATACATTTCTCCTTTTGCTTTAGTAATTTTCAGTCAGCTTTTCCAAAAGAATCTTGAATGATTTGTTGTAGCAGAAATTTCTAATCTGGACTCTCTAAGAGCTCAAGACTGGTATGTCTCTGGGTCCAGCCAGCCTGCTATGTAGGAGCCTCACCCTTTCTCAAGTTCTGTCTGTGTTCTGAAACCTTCAGGAGATCCCTTTATGTGTGGTCAGCAAGCTAATCCTTTACCATTTCCTTCTCTTCCACTGGGCTTTCCCCGGAGTGGGCAAGAAGGGAACCCTGTTTTTATGGAAGCAGGGAGTGATAAGTCCAGCTGGGTAAGTCCAGCCATCCAGCAAAGCAGCTGATATATCTGTATCTATATCTATATCTATATCTATATCTATAACTATATCTATATCTATAGATAGATAATATTGGCCAGGCATGGGCCATGCCTGAAATCCCAGCACTTTGGGAGACCAAGGCAGGTGTATCACCTGAGGTCAAGAGTTGGAGACCAGCCTTACCAACATGGTGTAACCCCGTCTCTACTGAAAATACAAAAATTAGCCAGACGTGGTGGCAGACACCTGTAATCCCAGCTACTCGGGAGGCTGAGGCAGGAGAATCGATTGAACCCAGGAGGCAGAGGTTGCAGTGAGCCGAGATCATGCCATTGCACTCCAGTCTGGGTGACAGAGCGAGACTCTGTCTCAAAAAAAAAAAATAAAATAAAAATAAAAAGTAATATATATTTGTAATGCTTTTTAAGAGATGGGGTCCTTGGCCGGGCACGGTGGCTCAAGCCTGTAATCCCAGCACTTTGGGAGGCCGAGACAGGCAGATCATGAGGTCAGGAGATCGAGACCATCCTGGCTAACATGGTGAAACCCCATCTCTACTAAAAAAAATACAAAAAACTAGCCGGGCAAGGTGGCAGTCACCTGTAGTCCCAGCTACTCGGGAGACTGAGGCAGGAGAATGGCGTAAACCCGGGAAGCGGAGCTTGCAGTGAGCTGAGATCCGGGCACTGCACTCCAGCCTGGGCAACAGAGTGAGACTCCATCTCAAAAAAAAAAAAAAAAAGAGATGGGGTCCCACTATGTTGCCCAGGCTGGACTTGAACTTTGGGGCTCAAGCCATCCTCCCACCTTAGCCTCCCGAGTAGCTGGGACTACAGGTATGCACCACCACCAGGCCAGGCTAATGTGTGTGTGTGTGTGTGTGTGTGTGTTTTGTTGAGACAGGATTTCACCATGTTGCCCAGGCTGGTCTCCAACTCCTGAGCTCAAGTGATCAGTCCCCCTTGGCCTCCCAAAGTGCTAGAATTACAAACTTGAGCCATGGCGCCCAGTCATTGTTTTTTTGTTTGTTTGTTTGTTTGTTTTTTGAGATGCAGTTTTGCTCTTATTTCCCAGACTGGAGTGCAGTGGCGCAGTCTCAGCTCACCACAACCTCTGCTTCCCGGGTTCAAGCAATTCTCCTGCCTCAGCCTCTCAAGTAGCTGGGATTACAGGCATGCGCCACTACGGCCGGCTAAATTTTGTATTTTTAGTAGAGACGAGGTTTCTCCGTGTTGGTCAGGCTGGTCTCGAACTCTCGACCTCCGGTGATCCACCCTCCTAAGCCTCCCAAAGTGCTGGGATTGCACCGCGCCCGGCTGCTCTTTATGGCTGCAAATATGGGGCACTTGCCTTGTGCCAGGCACTATGCTGGGCATTTTACCCTCATTCTTATAGGTAATCCTCATAGCAACTTGAGGAGTGGTGATAATTACAGTATTCCCACTGAACAGATGAGAAAACTGAAGCTCAGAAAGGCCAATGACTGGACCAAGTCAATGACTGCAAGGTGAGTCAGTGACAGAGCTGGGGTTTCACGACGTGTTTAAGCACCGCCTCATCAGTTGTGGCCACTAGGCTTGGGCGGATAGTCTCGCAGAGGAGCCTAAGTGGGGAGGGGGACGAAGAAGGAATATTCGGGACTGCGGGATGTTGAAATGGTCTCTTCAGAGGCTGCCGAGATTGAAACTGGGCAAGGTCCCAGGGCCCGAGTAGAGCCGGAACGTGCTACGCGGCGATCCCTTGGCCACGGGGTTTTCAGCGCCCGTGAAGCCAGGCTTGCCAGGCGGGGGCGGCTGGCGGGGCAGGGCTTCTCAGCCCGCCCCAAGTCCAGGTAAGCGCTTGCGACCCGCGCGGGCAGGGAAAACGCGCCTCCGCAGTGCTCGCGAGGTGCAGGGCGCCCCTGGCTCCGGGGCCGTCGGGCCAGGTCGGCTTGGCGCCCAGGGACTGGCCGGACGGGCTGGGCCTTTGGCGGGGGTGGAAGAGGAGGTTGCCGCGCCCTGCCCGGCCCAGGTGTCGTCTCCGGGGGCGGGGTTTGGAGCCCCGCAGCTGGAGATTCCCGGCCGGACTGGCGGGCGAGCGTCGAGAGACAGAAGCCGCGGAGAGGAGACTAAGCCGGGCGGCGCGGGGAGCGCACTGCGCAGGCAAAGTCGCAGGGCAGCCAACATGTTCTCCCGAAACCACCGGAGCCGGGTCACCGTGGCCAGGGGCTCCGCCCTGGAGATGGAGTTCAAACGCGGCCGCTTCCGACTCAGCCTTTTCAGCGACCCGCCCGAGGTGAGAGACCCGCGTCCCTGCCTTCCCCTTCCGCAGAATCCCGGGGGCAGCCCCAGCCACCTTGGCCTCCTTCCCTCGCCCGCGTGGACGCCGAGGGACGGAGACGCACGGTCTGGGTACAAACCCGACGGAGTTGTTGACTTAAAAAGTAAGGTGTGGACGGTCTGCATTTTCATTGGATCCGTGCTGCCCATTCCCCGGCCTGGTTAGGATGATTTGCCTGAGCCTGGAAAAAGCCAGGTTGGTCTCCATTTGTAGGGCCCCAGCTCGACTCCCAAAATGTGCCTGGACCCCAAAATGTCCTGGGCATCCCCAGGCCAAGGGCAGTGGGCAACTAGGCGGGCCCCAAACGCTCGGACTCTTGGCCTGGGCTCCTGCTTGTTCCCCTGCCGCCAGCCCCATCCCACAACCTGTCGCAGCCATCTGGGCCAGCCTGTCATCAATCCCAACTTTAGGCCGGGGTGGCTCGCTTCTCGGAAGCCCAATTCAAAGGCTCCTCTATGCCCCTGCAGGGCTTTTAACTCTTTGGGGTTACTTCCCACACGCAAAATTTCCGCCTCCTTTCCTGGTGCCTAAGAGGAGTCCAGCCCCTAGGCTGAGCGTTTCCCCCGTCCACCGTCCACGCGTTAACCGGTTGGAGCCCCACCTGTAAAGCCCTAGAGGCTAGGGCGGGGCTGAAGGTGTGTGGTTGAGCGGGGACTAACAGGGCGAATAGCTACCCCGAAGACTCTTCTGTCCCCAAGGTCAGACTCACACTCGCCCAAGGAGAGCCCAATTCCAAGCCTTCCCTTCCGGGTCTGGAAAGGGTTAAGTGAGGTGGGCCTTCCTCCCGCCCCCTCGCCCTCCCGGCTGGGATTCCAGGCCTGGCTTCTGCCCTTTCCCTCCAGCCTGCCCAGAACAAAGGCTCTTTCACACCCTTGTCCCGGTGTCCCGTGCCTTCTCTGATTCAGAAGCTGGTGGGCCTGCGGAGAGGGGTCCTTTGTCGGGTCCCCTTGCCCCCAAGCGACTGGGCCCGAGGAACCCGCGTGGGGCCAGCGTGGGGCAGTAAGGGGCGAGGCCTGGGACCAGGAGGAGGGGCCTGGGAGCTGGGGCCGCCCCTGGAATTAGCCTGGCCTTCGGGGACAGCTCGGAGGAGCTGGGGCGGAGCCGCAGAGCCCGGCGGCCGCCGAGTGGAGTGTGACTCCGTGGGCCTGGCGTGGAGGCGGGGGCGCTAGGCTGCAGCTGGCTGGGATTCGGGGCTGGTTTCCTGTCTGGAAGGGAAGGGGCCTGCAGAAGGGAGCGGGACAGCAGCAGACAGGCACACCCCTGCTTTCCTCCCTCCCTCTCCTCCCTTCTCTGGAAAAGCGAGGTAATTGTGAGTCCAGGGTGGAGCGGGCTGGATGGTGGCCCTGAGTTGGAAGGGGTGGCCCTGGGGCTGGGCTGCTTTACCAACTCACCCCTTTGTCCTGGGCTCCCTGGGCTCACTCTCCCCTGAGGTCCTCACCTCTGTGGCTCTTTTTTCTAACTTTCTCAAACTAAGCCGGAACCCCTCTCGGAAAGCTCCAACCTCCTGCAAGCCCTATGGCTCTAGAACCTGCATGAGGCGTCGTTTCCCTGCCCCCTTCCAGTTGTGCCTGCCCCTCACTGCCCTCTCCACACATAGATTCTCTGTCCACTAGGCCAGGGATGTGGGCGGGGGCTGGGGAGCGGCCAGAGTCGGAATGAAAGGGCCTTTTTCTTCCACAGCTGGGAGAACAGCTGCCACCAAAGCGAGACTGGACACTCTGTGCCTAGAGCCCCCTCTGCAGCTGGCCTTTCCTCCTGGGACCCCACTCATCCTCACTTCGCTTTCCTTTTTTTCCCTGCCTGGCTCACAGCAGGGCCTCGGAGCAGCAGTGGGCGAGGAAAATTTGTCACAGCAGCCAGAGAGGTTTAACAGGAGCGCAGAGGGATAAGGGCAGCCTCTGACCTCTGCCCAAGAGCTGGCCACCTCTTTAAAGACTGAGGGAACAGTGGGAGGAGGAACTGTGGGACAGTGTGGTACCTGTCTGTCCCCCCTCTGGAGGGGCTGACAAAGGAAAGGGCACCGGGGGGCACAGAGATGCAGGACAGATTGCACATCCTGGAGGACCTGAATATGCTCTACATTCGGCAGATGGCACTCAGCCTGGAGGTAATCCCCTGACCCTTGGAGTATACACTTTCTTCACTTGCATCCCAGCCCCAATATCTGCCCTGCACATTCCTGCTAGAGCATGGTGGGGAGAGCCAGGCCTGCTTAAAGTGGGGAGAGGGACAGGTGGTTCCCTATGCCTTGTGTTGGGTGCAGTGTGTGGACCCAGGCTCAGTTCTGCCCATCGTAGTCTTATGTTTGCAGCAGGGTTTTTACACCTATTTCAGGAAGCTCTGTGGGTGAGTGTAGATGTCTGTTCTGGGGACAAGGGTTCCTTTTAGGTATGGGAAGAAGAGAGGAGTTCAGTGTGAGCGAGGTTTGCAGAAAGGATGTAGCTTTACTAGAGAAGAGAAGGACTCTGGGCTTTGAGTAAGGATTCTGCTGGCCCTTGAGATGGCAAGGTGCTGTTTATTCATGTATTTGTTTTTTTCAATTATTTATAGACACGAGGTCTCACTATATTGCCCAGGCTGGTCCTGGCTCAAGCGATCTCCCTACCTCGACCTCCCAAAATGTCGAGATTACAGGTGTGAGCCACTGCACCTTGCCCTATGTATTCTTAAACACATGTATAGAACATGTACTATGTGCCAAGCTCCTTTCTAGACCATAAGATACCTCAGTGAACAAGACAAGAAAGTTCCATTGTAGTGGGAGAACAGAAATATATATACAAACACATAAATAATATCACGTAAAGAAATTATGATGAAAATGGGGATGTAATGAAAATAAGATGAGGTAGGCAATGTTAGATGTGAGGTCAGGGGAGGCCTCTGTTGGGAGATCTTTGAGCTAAGCTCAGGAGGATTTGGAGATACGTGAAGATTGGAGGAAGGGCAAAGGCCCTGAGATGAGGATGAGGGTAATATATTTGTGGGAAAGAGAGCCAGTGTGGCTGGAATATAGTAGTTGGGGTGGAGCTGATGGGCAGGGGCCAGATCATGCAGGGCCTTGAAGACCATGATAAAGCACCTGGATTTCACCTTAAGTGTGATGTTGGGCCATGGAAGGGTTTTAAGCAAGGGAATGACTCATGAGTCTGGTGGGAAGTTGATGGTAGGGTTGGGCGTGGAGGGTTGGCAAGAGAGGTCGTAAATGTCCAGGTGGGAGGCTGTTTCAGTAATAGGGTAGTAAACCTGGTGGTGTGAATTAAAATGCTCATGGTGGAGAAAGGGAGTAGATTTAAAATGGTAGTGGTAGGTCTGACAGGATTTGCTGATGGATTGGATGCGGGGGGGCGGGGGGGGGGGTAAGGCAAAGAAAGAGAACTCCAGGTTGATTCCCAGGTATGTGGCTAAGCAACTGGGTGGTGTGGCTGTTTACGGAGGTGGGGAAGATGGAGGAAGCTGTGGAAGTGACTGCCTGGACCAGGCAGGGGCTGCTGCTGAGAGGTCAGAGGCAGGACTGCAAAGAGTCTAGATCAGGAATGGCAGGATATTGTATGTGCTGCCCTGCTCAAGCCCTGCCCCTACTCCCTGGATCATAGTAGATGTTACTGGTCAATTTTGGCACTCTTTATCAATGAGCCCAGACCTGGCCTCAGAATCTTTCTCATATTTATGAGTTTATGCCAGAATCATCTTGGCATAAACTGTGCAGGTTGTGTCTGTCCTTCACACAGGTGCCAGCCAGAGGTGAGAGTCCTGGTCTGGTTTCAACTGCATCAGGAGGGAGCACCTTTATCTATTTTGTTTGCCTGGAGAGGGTCAACTTTTCCTAATTTGTAGAAAGGTGTCCAGTGAACTCGTTGGGACTCTACCTAATTATCCTCCATCAGTGCATGAGATAAAACCTATTTGCCATTCATAGTCCTCTGCAGTGTCCATGTCAGTTACAGTTGCTGTAGCCATATTTCAAGTGCTAGATGGCTACTGAACATTTCCATCACCGCAGAAGGTTTTATTGGACAGAGCTGGTCTAGGTATGTAAATGTTTAAATTCTGCATCCTGCCCTCCTCCAAAAAATGTAATTTTTCTCTGTGGGAGGTCTGTTCAAGTTCTGGGGCAGAGGAGAGGCTTAGTTTCACTTTGGTCACTCTCCTTTAGGAGAGTGGCTGAGGGTGCTGTGTTCTTTCTCAACCAAGTTCAGCAGGTCCTCAAAAGAGAGACCCATTGATGTTTCAGGGAATGTTAAGAGAGAGAGTCATGGAAGAGTAAATCCCAGAAGACTTTCTGGAGGAAGTGACTCAAGCTGCAAGTAAAGGGAGCTTGTTTTAAAACATGTGCTAGGCCCGGATAGAGATGAGACTTTCCCATATAATTCTCAAACAATGCTACGAAGGAGGTGGAATACTCCCTATTTTACAAACTCAGGCTCCAGGGGTCAAATTCTCTGGGCTTGTCAAGTCCCTAAGCCAGGATTTGTACTTAGCCCTGGTGGAAATTCTGAAGGAAACAGAGGGTGGTGAGAAGCAGAGCAGGAAGTCAGAGACAGAAGAGAGTGGGAGGGGTGGAAGGGATATCAACAGGGGGCCTAATGTGTGTGGGGCACATGACTCATTCTCTAGCCCCTTGGGATCTGACCCAGGTCCAGCTGACACCCAGCTCTGGGCTCTTTCCCAGGGAAGCCTGGGGGAAATGATGCCCACTTGGGGAGAGGGTGCGTTTGGGTGGGGAGGGGGCAACGAAGAACTATCCCTGGGGTGGGGAAACGCTCGAAGCACAAGGGTCCAATCCTGAGCCAGGATTCCCAGTTCCTTTGCGTGAAAAGGTGGGAGCCAGTTTCCTAGGGCGCTCCCGGCCTTGGGCCTTGGGAGAGTGGATTTGGGGCTGGAGAGCAGTAAGGAAATAGAGGAGGTGTCCGGGCTTGTGGTCCCGCTCATCCATGCTAGGCCCAGCGACCTCCCTAGGGCCCCAGCTCTCCTAATGTATACACTATCCGCCCTCCATACTCTCAGGCAAGGGGTCAACTTGGAGGGCAAACGCTACGCGGGAGGGGCCTCCCGGAGCTGGAGCACGTCGTGAAGGCCAGGAGCTTTTCCAGGGCGGTGGGGCGCACTCCCGGAGGTCCCTTCCTGCCGCGACGGAGTCTCGGTGGAAGCACCGCCTTGAGCCAAGCCCAACCAGGTGCCCGGAGGGACCTCCAACGCCCTGGTACCCCTCAGTTGCTCTCGCGGCCATTGGGAGCTGATGTCACCGGCGCCCTGAGCGCTGCGGCTGGAGGCGGTGTAGCTACGCCGGCGCCCTGGCTCCTCCGATTTCCCGCGGCGGCCCTCGGGCGCCGCCGGCTCCCCAGGCCAGTGCAGCTCTTTGGACTTCGCGCGCCTATGCGCGCCTCTCGCAATGGACAGGGCTGGGGAAGGATCCGTGAGTGCTGGGACTGGGATGAGATTAGCCAAGATGGGGGTTGAGGACACCTCTGTGTCCCCTTCCTGCCGGGCTCACCCACTTGGGATGTTTGTGGCTGAAGCTGGGTGCAGACTAGGGTGGGGGTTGGCAGGCAGCGTAGAACCCTGGTGCAGACAAAACTAGACTGGGAGGACCTATGTAGTCTGAAAGGGCTTCTTGGTGGAGGGACTTTGGGAAAGGGTTGGCTTATTACAGAAGGAAAACAGGTGGATGGTGATGGGGGAAGAAAATAGCCAAGGAAGCATCTGTAGGCAGGCAGGACAAGGGTTTTAGAAGAGGGAATTTAGGGTGTTTAGGTCTGAGAGACTTGAAGGCTGGAGCCACTAGGGACAGATACAAGGGCACAGGGTATGGAGGAGAGCTGCTATGAGGAAAAAGACAGGTTTGGGGTGGTCACATTAGTTCCCCTGTTTCAAATGGGTGGCTCGACTTGTCTCCTGAACCAATCTGTACACTGTGATGGAGTTAGTCTTCCAACTCCTCTCTGAAGCTTTCCTTGATCACCTCAGCCAGAAGCAAACAGAGTCTGTTTCTTGTGAGCATGATTGTGCCATGACATGGCACTTATGGAGCAGCCATTAAAGTTGTCATCTCTCATCTCCCAGCTGGATTTTAAATATACAGCCTTGCAGAGCACAGGAATGTTCCAGTGTTGACTCAGTAAATGCTGCTACCGCCAAAGTATGGCATCATGAAAATAAGCATCCCTGCCATTAATGTATGCCGCATGCTGGGCACTGTGCTAAGTGCTTTAAGTTCCTGCCTCACAGAATTCTCACAGCCCTAGGATCTAGGGACTATTTCCATTCCTGCTTTACAGATGGGGATACTGAGGCTTAGGGAGGTTGAGCTAATTGCCCATTGCTTTTTAAGAAGCAGGACCTCCAGGGCTCCTTTCTAAATGAATGTTCCTGAGAATCCTGGTGTCTCTCCCAGTGCCTCTCAGCTGGCCCTTATCCACAGTCTCTCACTCCTGGACCACCTACCTTCCCATCCCCATTCCTTGCCTCTGACCTTATCTCCCAAGCTCAGAGGGCCAGTAGGTGTTGGGTCTTCTAATTTGGGGTGTATAGGGTTCTGTGCAGCATCAGTGAACACTGTAGGTGGTATGCTCCTTGTCCACTGATCCCTTGCCAACTAGATGTCCCCAGCATCACTTGAGTCTGAGGGATAACTCTCATTTGCCTTTCCTTCTATCCATTCCCATAAGTTGGTGGTTCTCAACCTGGCTGTACCTCAGAATCACTTGGGGACTCTTCCAAAAGTACATATGCCCCACTCCTAGAGATTCTTATTCTGCAAATCTTAGGTAGGGCCTGGTCATTTTTTTTTTTAAACTCCAAAGATCTAATATTTTTTAAAGGAAATACAATTTCCAGTAGTACAAAGAGTATATATAAAGTATCATTAGGCTGGGTACGGTGACTCAAGCCTGTAATCCCAGCACTCTGGGAGGCCGAGGCGGGAGGATCACTTGAGGCCAGGAGTTCAAGACTAGGCTGGCCAACATGGTGAAACCCCATCTTTACTAAGAATACAAAAGTTCGGCCGGGCGTGGTGTCTCATGCCTATAATCCCAGCACTTTGGGAGGCTGAGGCGGGTAGATCACCTGAGGTCAGGATTTCGAGACCAGCCTGGCCAACATGGTGAAACCCTGTCTCTACTAAAAATATAAAAATTATCTGGGTGTGGTGGCTCACACCTGTAATCCCAGCTACTCCAGAGGCTGAGGCAGGAGAATTGCTTGAACCTGGGAGGTGGAGGTTGCAGTGAGCCGAGATGATGCCACTGCACTCCAGCCTGGGCAACAGAGTGAGACTCAGTCTCAAAAAAAAAAATACAAAACTTAGTTGGGCATGGTGGTGCATGCCTGTAATCTCAGCTATTCAGGAGGCTGAGGCACAAGAGTCACTTGAACCTGGAAGGCGGAAGTTGCAGTGAGTTGAGATCACGCCACTGCACTCCAGCGTGGGTGACAGAGTGAGACTCAGTCTCAAAAAACAAAAAGTATCATAAATGTTTTCCATTCCTGGCTCCCAGGCCTACAATCACTAATATTTTATGCATAAATATGCATATCTATATATATGTATATATATGCATGCATACACATATATATCATACATGTATGTGTAATACTACCATTCTTTCCTCACATAATTTATTTTGGAGATTGTTTCATATCTGTATACAAATGCATACCTCTTTAATGTCTGCAATACTACAGGGTACAGATGTGCTGTTACTTACTTAACCAATGTCCTACTGAGGGGGTTTTAATTTTGATTTTTTTTTTTTGAGACGGAGTCTCGCTCTGTCGCCCAGGCTGGAGTGCAGTGGCCGGATCTCGGCTCACTACAAGCTCCGCCTCCCGGGTTTACGCCATTCTCCTGCTTCAGCCTCCCAAGTAGCTGGGACTACAGGCGCCCGCCACCTCATCCAGCTAGTTTTTTGTATTTTTTTTAGTAGAGACGGGGTTTCACCGTGTTAGCCAGGATGGTCTCAACCTCCTGACCTTGTGATCCGCCCGTCTCGGCCTCCCAAAGTGCTGGGATTACAGGCTTGAGTCACCGCGTCCGGCCTTAATTTTGATTTTTAAAACACTGCTGCAATGAATATTTTTGTATGTATGGCTTTACCTAGTTATATGTGAAACTATATGTGTAAGATAAACTCCTAGATATTGGATAGCTGGATTAAAGGATATATGAATTTGTAGTTTTCATAGATTTTTTTCCAAATTGCACTCAAAAGAGGCTGAAGGAATTTATACTTCCAACCATCAAATGCATGAGGGCATCTCTATTTTTCTTATTTGTTATATATATTTTTTAGAGGTGGAGTCTCACTATGTTGCTTAGGCTGGCCTTTGATCTCCTAGGCTCAAGGCATCCTCCCGCCTCAGCCTCCCTCACACACCACTGCACCTGGCTACAAAGCTTCTCTGGATATTCGTGGGCAGCTGAGATTGACACCCAGTGCCTGCTCTTGAACTGCCTAAAACATTAGTTTCTTGTCAGTTTTACTTGCCACAGCCCACTTGGGGACTGGGGAGTGCTTTAGCCTGTCCTGACTGACATTTCCTTCTCACCCTTCCCCCAACCCTGGCTAGGACACGGAGTTGCAGAGGAAGCTAGACCATGAGATCCGGATGAGGGAAGGGGCCTGTAAGCTGCTGGCAGCCTGCTCCCAGCGAGAGCAGGCTCTGGAGGCCACCAAGAGCCTGCTAGTGTGCAACAGCCGCATCCTTAGCTACATGGGCGAGCTGCAGCGGCGCAAGGAGGCGCAGGTGCTGGGGAAGACAGGCCGGCGGTGAGCAAGGGGGAGGCGAGGCCTTGATGGAGGCAGGAGGCCTTCTGGGTGGTGATGGTGCAGCGTATGCATGTGTGGCATGTGGACCACCTTAAAGATGACTTCCCCATGAAGTCTTATCAGGGACCTGGGAGAGACCTTGGTGTTTTACCACCATTATGTGTTGCCCAGAGGCGCATTTGTGAGTAGGCAGGGCAGGACTTAGGAAAGTCAGTGTGTCTAGTGAAAGGTAGCTGATCTGAAGGGTAGCAAGTAATGCAAAAGCACTAATTTGCTAAGCCCTGTCTGTGATCCAGTAAGACTGGCTACCTGGCTTTTGGAAAATTAATTTCCTCAATGCTGGTTCACAAAATGGCCAATTTACCACATACCGACAATAGTTTGTTATCCGGGGTTCACCATCAGAGGCAGGGAGTGGGAAAGGAAATAAGAAACCACTTAAGGAAAGCCTACCCATTCAAACAAATTAGATTGTGCATTCTAAAAGGGCGCAGCTTCTGGATGTAAAATGTAAGCAACACTGACATTAGACTGTTGATCTGACAAGTCTATAATGACTTAAGTGATGCCATGATAAAACCAAAATAGTGGGGAAAATATTTGGCAAATTATTCTAAGAATATGCCAATTTGGATAAAGTGGTCATTTGGAGAACTGGTTTTTAGGAAAGTGGCCTACTTACTCCACTGAGGCTGCTTGGGGAATTAGTCCCAGCCCCTCACAGGCGTGGTGCTCATTCCACCCATGAAGGCTGACACAAGGGGAGGTTGCCAGGAGCTCACCCATGAAGCTACCAGAAGGCAGAAAACCCACTCTATGGCTATCCCATGAAGCTAGAGGAAGGGCAAGCTGGCGGGGGGACAGCCTCTCCTGAAAAGCAGCATGGACAGACTCTGTCCTGCCTAAGTCCTCACATAGCCCACACAGGTGATTTGAGGTACACCCCAAGTGCCTGGCAGCTAAACACATTGCCATTAGTGCCACATCATTTAGCTTAAGACTCCACTAAGTCAGTAATTACTTTAGTGGCATTATGGATAAGTACAGATGAACTGGCAGTCGCTTCAGGAAAGAGACACATGTGGTGAGTCCTGATGCGCAGGGAGGGAAGGAAGGTGGGGTATTGGGCCCTGCAGTGGGGTGGGGAGGGGGCTGCAGAACTTGGGGCACTAGTAGGGTACAGCATATAGGGCCAGGAGGAAAAAGGAGAAATCAAAGTTGGGGAGTGGTAGGGAAGGAAAAGGGTCTGTAGTGAATAGAATGTAACTCTTCCCTATTGGTGATTTCCCTTTGAACAAACGTTGGCCAAATTATTTTCTGACCCAGTACCCTCCTATATCAAAGCAGTGATGGGATAGTGGGAAATAAGCAGCCTTCCTATTGTTAAAAAAAAGAAAACAGAAAGAAAGAAAAAAAAAAGCCTGGAAATGCCTCTAAGGCAGGGGTTTAATGGAGAGCCCTGGAAATGAAGTCTCTCTGTGGGCACCTGTCCCCTCAAGGCCACACCTGTTCTTGGCAGGGGTCTGGAGAGGTGGTCAGGGAGGGTGCTTGGAGAGAGGAGCCCTGAGCTTGTGCCTTATGTGTGAGTTAATGTGGCTTGAGTGTCCCTGGTGTCCCCAAGCCTGGCAAACTGCTGGGTTCAATGGACAACTTTCCCTTTATAGTCCCTCAGCCCTGCCTGTCAGCCTGGCTGGGGACCTGGTGGCTGAAGCCCTGGGACCAGGGGGATCCTAGAGTCCTTGGGACCAGAGCAAGGGGGAATAGTGGCTAGAGGCCAGGCCAGGACATTGTGATTTATCCACAGGCCTTCTGACAGTGGCCCGCCCGCTGAGCGCTCCCCCTGCCGCGGCCGGGTCTGCATCTCCGGTAAGAAGCACAGCTACCCCAGCTGCTGGCACCCCTTGCCCAAGCACACGGCCTTTTGCCCCATCTCAACATCTGTTCCTACCCCTCTGCCCCTTAGACCTCCGGATTCCACTCATGTGGAAGGACACAGAATATTTCAAGAACAAAGGTGGTGAGTTCCACGCACCCTGGGACAGATTCAGGGGAATGACCCTGAAGTAGGACGCTCTTGTGGGACGTGTTTTTTGAGTTTTGCCCTCTTTGTTCCTAGACTTGCACCGCTGGGCTGTGTTCCTGCTACTGCAGCTGGGGGAACACATCCAGGACACAGAGATGATCCTGGTGGACAGGACCCTTACAGACATCTCCTTTCAGAGCAATGTGCTCTTGTGAGTACCTCAAACTGTGGCTCCCTTCCTCCACTCTGCTCCAGTTCTAGATGAGCAAGTTCCAGGGGAGGAAGCTGCGGGTGGGGGGCACCTGGCCTTCCCTGTGGAGCTGTCCTGCAGTTGCCCCACCCACATCCCCCACCCTCTGCCTCCCTGGACTTTCCTGTGATCACCCTCCTTCCTCCCACCAGCGCTGAGGCGGGGCCAGACTTTGAACTTCGGTTAGAGCTGTATGGGGCCTGTGTGGAAGAAGAAGGGGCCCTGACTGGTGCCCCCAAGAGGCTTGCCACCAAACTCAGCAGCTCCCTGGGCCGCTCCTCAGGGAGGCGTGTCCGGGCATCGCTGGACAGTGCTGGGGGTTCAGGGAGCAGTCCCATCTTGCTTCCCACCCCAGCTGTTGGGTAAGGCCTTGCACACTGCCACTACCCTCAGCTGCCTATATTCGGCCCACAGGTGACCTTTGAACTGTGTTGAGTGTGCAGAACCCATTTTGCATTGCTGCCAGGATGTGCAGACAGACATGAATGAGCAGTGGCCACGTAGCTAGGAGGCATTCCAGCCCACGCCCCAGAGCTGGGCTGAAGCCAGTCCAGAATACCAGTAGGAAGGCAGGGAGACTTAGGCCTTGGGGTCTTAACTTTTTAGTAGCAGCAAATACATTTTATTTTTAGAGACGGGGTCTCGAACTCCTGGGCTGAAGTGATCCTCCTGCCTCGGCCTCCCAAAGTGGTAGGATTACAGGCATGAGCCACAGCACTCAGCCTAGCAAATACATTTTATGTGGATAGAGCAGAGCTTCTTGGTTGGAGCAGAGTACCCTGGACCTGTGGTGGTATCTACATGCACCCGGAGACACCTCATGGGACCACTGAGACTCTGAGAAGCAGTTTGAGAACCTTTGGTAGTCAACAGAATACTGATTTTGGACACAGATATGGGTTCAAATTCAAACTCCCCCACTTTCCAGTTACAAACTATGGGCAAGTTTCTTAACCTCTCTAAGCCTCAAGTTGCCTCATCTAGTTGAAGAATGCCACCAACCTCACAGGGCTGTCATAGGAATACAGTGGGATAAAACATATAAAGCATAGGTCCTGACACTTAGCTGGAGCTCAGTAAATGTTCATTCCTAACCCTCTGGGGAGACAAGCGAGTTTTCTGTGGGGCAGCCTGAACAATGGGGCAGATCTGCTCAGCCCTTAGAGTTCCTGCTGGCCAACACGCCCCTCCCTCGGCTGATGCTCTCTCCTATCTCCCTTAGTGGTCCTCGTTACCACCTCTTGGCTCACACCACACTCACCCTGGCAGCAGTGCAAGATGGATTCCGCACACATGACCTCACCCTTGCCAGTCATGGTAAGCATGTATGTGCATGGGGGACACACACATGTGATGGTGAGAAGAGGGGCTGTGGGATGGTCCCCTTCTCATTCCCCTACCTCACCCTGCACTTCCTCCTCCCCCAGAGGAGAACCCTGCCTGGCTACCCCTTTATGGTAGTGTGTGTTGCCGTCTGGCAGCTCAGCCTCTCTGCATGACTCAGCCTACTGCAAGTGGTACCCTCAGGGTGCAGGTGAGGTGAGAGGGCCCTGAGGAGTGGAAGGGAGCAGGGAGAAGGCAGAGGAGAGCTGGATAACCAGGAATAGAAGAGCTAATGAAAAATCAAGATTTGGGTGGAAGAAATGGGATATGACCAGATGAGGGGAGGAATGGACAGCAGGGTGGACAAAAGGGGGGCTGAGAAGAGGGATACTGGGGGGTGTGACTTCCCCAGAAAATGTTGAGTCATTTGTGCAGCCAGCTGGGGAGATGCAGAACTGGGCACAAGTGCATGGAGTTCTGAAAGGCACAAACCTCTTCTGTTACCGGCGACCTGAGGATGCAGACACTGGGGAAGAGCCGCTGCTTACTATTGCCATCAACAAGGTGATGGGTCCCTTGTGGTAAGGCCACCAAAGGCACAGGCCCAGGAGCCTCTCCTTCAGGCCCCAGGAGGGTGGGCACGTACCTCAGAGAGATAGAAGCCGGCCTCCTGCTCCTGACAGTAGTGCCACATCCAGCTTCTGGGGCCCGTATTCTCCCCACCACAGCATCACTGGGAGAGGACTGTCCCATTCATTTGCCATCCTCAGTCCCTGCCAAGTCTCAGAGAGGGTTTTCCCGCCTGCCAGTTCAGGGCTTTTCATCCTCTCTCCCTCTTCTCCCTCAGATTCCAATTTGTATCTATTTTACCACTTCCCATTTCTCTCCAGGTCCAATTGCCCTTCTTTGCTCCCCATCCCTTTTATTGGCTTTCCTGCCTACTTTTTGGCAATTCTGAGGGACCTCTGGCTGGAGCATCCTTGCCTACCTCTGTGTCTTCCCTGCCTTTCTCAATCCATCTTTCCCTGTCTCAAGCTGCTCTTCCTCCCCTGACTCAGGACTGGCTGTCTCATCTCCAGCCCTTTTTTGCCATTCCTTCCCACTCTGGTCAGTAGGAGGCAAATGAGAGGGCTCAGCAAAAGCCCCGCAAGCTCATTCTTCTAAGACAGGGGTGATCAAGGCTGCCTGATTGTCACTGCCAACTTCTGTGACCAAGGTAGACCTCTTCTTTCTCCTGCAGGAGACTCGAGTCCGGGCAGGGGAGCTGGACCAGGCTCTAGGACGGCCCTTCACGCTAAGCATCAGTAACCAGTATGGGGATGATGAGGTGACACACACCCTTCAGACAGAAAGTCGGGAAGCCCTGCAGAGCTGGATGGAGGCTCTGTGGCAGCTTTTCTTTGACATGAGTAAGAGAGAAGGGGGCTGGGTTGAACCTCTGGGAAGGACTGGAGTTTTGTCATTTTTACTAAAGGTCTCTGTTTCAAGATTGTGTGGAAGGGAATGTAGCAGGAGAAAGGGCAGCCTGGCCTTCTCTTCTCTAATCAGCGCTCTTCCTCCAGGCCAGTGGAAGCAGTGTTGTGACGAAATCATGAAAATTGAAACTCCTGCTTCCCGGAAACCACCCCAAGCACTGGCAAAGCAGGGGTCCTTGTACCATGAGATGGGTAAGTGAGAGGAATGTGCACTCCAGGAAGCTTATGGGAAGTAGGGTTGGGGACTTCAAGAGAAACCAGATAATGGAAACAGAGAAAGCACACTCTGGGTTACACCAGATCTCTGGGGACCCAATTCTCACCCAATCCTGTGTGTTCTTTTCTCTTCTCCAACTCTTCTTAGAACCACCTCCATCAAAGTTCAAAACAAAACCCCAATAAGCCAGGATCATTTCATTGATTTCTTTCCTAATTTCTTGTTTTCTGTTTCCCTTTCTGCATGTGGATTCCTGTCTCTTCCTCTGACCCCTCACTTGCCTGGCACCGCTTTCGTTTTCTCCTCTTTCTTGGTTTCTTCACCCACCTCTGCTCCCCACCTGTCCCCTTCCCATCCCCATCTACCTTGCGCCCCTCATCCCACAGTTTTATCAGAGCCTGTAGCCCCAGGGGGCCTAGGTGAGGGGCTGCTCCTGCAGGATAACGCAATCTCGGCTGAGATCCGGGCTTTGCTTTCCTCCTATTACAGTGACAGGTGATAGGGCTGGGTAGGCTTGGGGCCTGAGCTCTGACTAGCCCACCCCTCCCCCAATCCCTTCCTGGTGCCACAGCTATTGAGCCGCTGGATGACATCGCAGCGGTGACAGACATCCTGACCCAGCGGGAGGGCGCAAGGCTGGAGACACCCCCACCCTGGCTGGCAATGTTTACAGACCAGCCTGCCCTGCCTAACCCCTGCTCGCCTGCCTCAGTGGCCCCAGCCCCAGCCTGGACCCACCCCCTGCCCTGGGGGAGACCCCGAACCTTTTCCCTGGATGCTGTACCCCCAGACCACTCCCCGAGGGCTCGCTCGGTTGCCCCCCTCCCACCTCAGCGATCCCCACGGACCAGAGGCCTCTGCAGTAAAGGCCAACCTCGCACTTGGCTCCAGTCACCAGTGTGAGAGAGAAAGGTGCTGGCATAGGATCTGCCCAGAAGAGAAAATGACCCATGCACAGTCGGGCTCTGGATACGGCGCTGTCTATAGCAAGCTGGCCAGTCTGGCCTCCTGTTCCTCTGCTGGACCTGGGGTAGGCTGCAGGGGTGGGCAGAAGCCCCTCTTAAATTGTGGTTGCCATGGTACTGAGGGACTCATTCCTGGGGCTGGCTGGGACCTCCCTAAACCCTTCCTGGAAGAAAACTGGAACCAACTCTGCCCTACCTCCCTGCACTAACCAGCTTTGAGGATGGCACTGAAGAACCCTTGGAGGAAACATACCTCCCTTGTGACTCCCACATCAACCATTAAAGCTATTTAACAGCAGCCTTCACCTGGCTCCTGAGGACAGGGTGCCTCTCTCTGCCTGGTCTAGACCTGCCTCACTTCATCCCTGGAGCATAGTTTACCAGCTGTGAAATATGACTGTGATACTGAGTAATCAGACTAACGCTGGGTGGAGTGGGTACTTTATGAATACCACAGGGACAAAGGAAGGCTGCTCTTCTCACACACTGCTGAATCTCCGGATCTCCGCAAGGTCATAGCCAGTCACGGCAAAGGAGCTGCCCGAGGAATCACAAAATCGAGCACCACACAGCTGGGTGTCAGAGACACACTCACCATGACAGTGTTCCACCTGGGAGAGCAGAGGGCTGGTCAGGGCCTGCTGCCCCATGCTTGGGCCCCCCCATTCCACCCACCCCATGACACATACCTCAATGTAGCCACTCTCTGGGCTTCTGCTCAGCTTCCAGATATGCACAAAGGTGTCCTCACCTGCAGAGAGTAGCTGTGGAAGAGGAAGCGGGGGGAGTCAGAATGCCCTGACAGGGGACAGGTATAAGATGGAATCCCCAGTCGAGGTGCCCCGGGGAGGGGGCTATACTGAGTTGCGAAGACAAGCCTGTGGTGTTCTCTCAACATTCCACTGCCAGGAAAAAGGGTATGTAGGGACAGAGGAGACTGACCTTGCCCACCTCAGGAGCCAGGTCCAGGGCGCAGATGGCCCGGGCATGGGCATTGATCTGGACATGTAGATTTCCTGTGGCGGCCTCATACAGATGCACTTGTCCGTTCCCATAGCCTGCTGCTATGATCCCCTGCCACAACTGCACAGAGGGGCACGGCACTCTGCAAGGGTGACACCCAACTTTGTTTTGCCCAGATCAAATCGTACTCCCCAACCTGAAGCTACCTCAGGAAGCCCTCTACCCCTTCTGCCTCACCTACCCAAATCCTGGAATGCGGGTCAATAATGTGAATTCTGGCCCTGACCGCCAGACACACAGCAAGCCTGAGTCATCTGCCGTCACCATGTCAGCCACACAATCCTGAAGGGAAAGGCAAGATCAGCCCTTCCCTTTCTCCCCTGCTATGGTCCTGTATACAGGGCAGGAGGGGAAGGGAGGCAATGTGTGCACCTTTGCCTCTCCAGGCAAAGGGCAAGATGGGTCTCACTAGCTAGACCCATCAGAAACCACCCCTACCACCAGCGTTCCCCTAGGAAGCATGAACTGCTTTCCTTGAATTTCTTCCTGGAGTCCCATCCCCCAGTAACACGTTAGGAGGGCTGCATAATTGCCTCACTGGATGGATGATAAAACTGAGGCCACAGTGTCATGACCTTCTGGAGGTCTTGTAGTGAACCAGTCACAGTCATGACTAGACCCTGGGCCCCTGCACCCCCAACACCAGGCAGCCAACACAGCCCATGGGCCTAGCCCTATGCCAGGTACAATGGAGAATATGAATAAGAAAATACCCTCCTCTCAAGAGGTTTGCAAATTAATTGGGGAGACAAGAGTTGTCTTTTGAGGGCAGTGCCAATTCAGGTTTCAGCTAAGAGATCAGTGGGAGCTAGAATATGGGGAAGGCTTCCTGGAGAGGATGGATGGCACTGGAGCTGGGCCTGAATAGGTGGGACTTGCCCTAGAGAAGGAAGCTGCACATTTCAGAGCTGGAAAGTATCTTAGAAACCATTTGTTCCAACTCCTCATTTCACATCAGTATTATAAAGCCTTAGTTAACTATAAAATACTACATAAATGTAAAGTATCTCTGGCTTTATCACCGAACCTGGTTGCTAAAGACTAGGAAAATGCAGATTTGCCAATCCACCTGTTTAGTGGCAGAGGCAAGACTCAGAGCCAGGTCCCCTCCCTCCCAGGGTGGGGAAGGCTCCCAGCTGGGTAGGGGAAGTCCACTCACCTGTCCCTGGGCAGGCTCAGTGGCAATGTCTGTGATTGGTGTCTGGTGCCCAGCCAGCTCCTCGCTCAGTACAATGTTGGGACCCTTGGCCGGGATGTCAAACACCAGCACCCGGCCTGACCATGTTCCTATAGCCAGAACCAGTACCCCAGTGATGACTTCCTGACCCACCTGGGTCTCCAGCCACCATACTCAACACTTACTCCATCCCAGAAACCTTAGTAACAAAACCCCCTCTCACTGCTCCAACAGCCATGCCCCTTCATTCACTATCCTCATCCTATCCCACCCTGATCCTCTGAACCCTTCCATGGTTTACTGGAGTCTCTGATTCCACTCCACTTCCACCCTTCCCTCTAACTTTCCACAGTTTCCTCAGGCCCTCATTATCCTCCTGGCCACAACCCACATGCTCCAGCACCCCTCCATGCCCTACCCTTGGCTCCCTCACCCACACAGATGAAGTGGCCACTGGCAGCAATTCCCCGGGCAAACACAGCCTGTACTGAATATGAAAGGGAAGAATGATCAGAAATATCCCTTCCTGCAGCCCTAGCAAACACTCTCTGCCCCTACCCCACTTGGTCCTGCAGGTACCTGGGGAGGCATCTCCAGAGTCCAGTGCATGCCAGTAGACCATGGTGTAGCCATTGGACTCGTACATCTGGAAGACAAGGGCAAGAACCAGGGGGCATAACCCAACTGACCTCTGCTGAGTACTTCACATATCCATGTTAGCCTTAGCCCATTTAATCCTCAAAACAAATCTGGGATGTAGGTACTATTTTTATCCTTATTTTTTCAGAGGATAACAGTGAGAGTGAGAAGTTAATAGTGTAAGAACACACAGCTAGTAAAGGGGCAGATACTGGAGGTGACACTTGGGAACTGGAAAAGACGGAAAGATTGAAGATAAGAAATAGAAAAAGAGTGAGTGGGCCAAGCATGTGAAAAGTTTGGAAGTGTTCAGAGGCAAGTGGGGAAGAGTCTGGAAGCCTGGAGGGCAGCTGAGAAGGTTCTGGTGGGGTAAGCAGGAGAGTCCTCTTCTTACCTGTATTCCTCGATGTGAGGTGAGTACCAGCAGCACTCGGAAGGGGAGGACACACCAGTGGACCTGGAGGGAGGTGCATCAGTGTAGGGAGAAAATCAAAGCAGGGAAGATGAGTCTTTTTTTTGGCAGGGGGTGGGGGGGAATGGAGTCTTGCTGTGTTGCCCAGGCTGGAGTGCAGTGGCACCATCTCGGCTCACTGCAACCTCAGTCTCCTGGGTTCAAGCGATTCTCCTGCCTCAGCCTCCCAAGTAGCTGGGATTACAGGCGCACATCACCACACCCCGTTAATATTTTTGTATTCTTAGTAGAGAAGAGGTTTCACCATGTTGGCCAGGCTGGTCTCGAACTCCTGGCCTCAAGTGCCCGTCTCAGCCTCCCAAAGTGTTGGGATTACAGGCGTGAGCCACCGCGCCGGGCAGAAAGGTGGAGATTCTTAGGTTAGGACATGCCTGCTCCTGAAGGTTTGGAGAGAAAAGGCTGGGGGTAGGACTGGGTTCAGCAACATCACTCCTAACTCCATGCCTCACCTGAGTGATAAGTGGTGGGCTCACTCCAGCACCCTCCTTAGCGTGGAGCTGGCGCTGGGCCAAGGGCACACCCTCAGGAGCAGCGCTGAGAAGCTGGGCGCTTGGTCCATGAACCACACCAAAATACGTGAGGTTGCGAGCCGGCAGCTGCAGCACACTGAGGTTGTTGCACAGGGCGGCGGCCGAGCCTCGAAGGGGAATGGAGCGCTCCCAGCGGAACATCCTGTAGGGAGGTGCCTCCGAATCACCAGGCGCGCTACAAACAGACGCAGCGGAGATGTCCGAGGGAGGCTATGATCGAGCATTTCGGAAGATGCCTGATACTGGGTGACAGGATGGGGTGCCCTGACGACGGTGATGGGGGAGGGTCACATGGCGTGGGGAGGGTCTCGAGGAGCAAGACAGGGGAGTTCCAGGGCTGTTTTGGGGCGACAGGGGAATCGCAGAGGAGGAATGGTGATGACACAGGACCACCCGATGGCCCCAAGCCTGCGAGCCAAATAAGTGTGATGAAGACCCCAAGGCTTTCTACCTCGGCTCGGATCCCTGAAGCCCCCGGCCTAGGTCAGAAGTAACACCCGTAGCCCCCAGATCGGCTCGCCTGACTCTTGGTTCGTAGGGTCCCTCCAAATCCACCGCCACCATAGAGACGACGCACGTACGCACGGCCCTTGGGCGGGCTGAGCGGCCGGAACGTGGCGCGGTTGCCGGGGCAACTGTGGGCGGGGCGAGCGACCCCGAGCGCGTGGTTGCCGAGGCGACTGTTAGGCCGTGGCGCGGCCCGGACGCAGCAGAAACAGCAGAGTTGCTGCGACCGCGTTGGCTATGGCGCACGAAGGCTCGGTGAGCTTCAGTTCAGCTGGGGATGTGCCAGAGCCAGGGTCGGCCGTTAAGGACGGTGTCGGGAACAGTGGGCTGGCTCTGGGCCGCCCAGTGCGCCTACTTGCCCCCGCCCACCGCGCGGGAGTTCTAGATGACCTAGGAAGCCACGTCGGTACTCGGGCAGAAAACCTACAACTGCACGGTGCCCACTCAAACGCTTTGTCACACTCAAGCCATGAGGGAAAGGGTCAGTGGGTGGTGTAGAGCCCGAGAACGGGAAGTGGATTTTGAAACAGCTAATGAATGTAGTAAGTCTCTTACATGGTGGTGCGTATTTAAATGGATAAGCATTTAGAGAAGATAACAGAAAAAATCTATCTCGAGAATTTCAAGAGGAAGAAATATATTAAATAATTCAGAGGCTGCACTTGAAAGTCAAATTGTTTAAGGACCAATCAATTTTAAAATAAAGAAAACGGGGCCGGTTGCAATGGCTCAGGCCTGTAATCCCAGCACTTTGGGAGGCTGAGGTGGGCGGATTGCCTAAGCTCAGGAGTTCAAAACCAGCCAGGCCAACATGGCGAGACCCCGTCTCTACTAAAATACAAAAGATTAGCTGGGTGTAGTGGCGCGGTGCCTGTAGTCCCAGCTACTGGGGAGGCTGAAGCAGGAGAATCGCTTGAACCCGGGAGGCGGAGGTTGCAGTGAGCCGAGATCGCGCCGCTGCACTCTAGCCTGGGTGACAAAGAGAGACTGTCTCCAAAAAAAAAAAAAAAAAACGGATTTGAAGAGCCTTTGTGCAAAAATATCTCTGTCCCCTCTGGTCACCATCACGGGTGTCAGATGCGAAGCTGGGAGGGGAGGTCTAAGGAACCAACTCTCTTTACCCAGTCCAGTCAGCCCTGCTCTAGTCAAGCTTGGCCTGGGCTGTGGGCCACTCCTGGTGCTTGCCACAGGGCTCTTCTCACTGGTGGATGGGGTAATGAGACTTAAGGGATTTTGAGTTCAGTGCAAGATTTAGGAAACAAGCAGATTTGGGGAGATAATGAATTTTAGGAAACAGATATGAGACAAGGTTTTACAGGGCAATAGGCAAAGGTTTGGGAAGATCACATTTGGAGGTGCATTTTGGAAGGAACCAGGTTCAAGGAGACTGTTGTGGGGAATTGAGGGAGCTCCCAAGAGATTGTTTGTAAACTTTTTATGTCCCTAAAGTGAGTTTTGGGGACTAGTCTTTTTTTTTTTTAAGTGATTACAAAAGGAAACAAACTCATTGTAGAGAACTTACAAAATAGAAAAGAGCATAGGAAGGAAATGTACTCTCTGTTATCATTTTGATGTTTTCCTTTTGTTGAACACATAGTGGTTTACATATATGAAATCATAATTGATATGTAATTTTGTATCCTGCTTCTTTCACTTAATATTACATCATAAACATTTGCTTTATGCCATTGCAAATTCTTTCTAAAGATTACCTTTAATGGCTGGGTCAGTGGCTCATGCCTGCGAGGTGAGCAGATCACTTGAGGCCAGTTCAAGACAAGCCTGGCCAACATGGTGAAACCCCATCTCTACTAAAAATAGAAAAAAAAATTAGCCGGGCCTTGTGGCAGGTGCCTGTAATCCCAGCTACTCAGGAGACTGAGGCAGGAGAATTGCTTGAACCTGGGAGGTAGAGGTTACAATGAGCCGAGATCTTGCCACTGCACTCCAGCCTGGGTGACAGAGCGAGACTCTGTCTCAAAAACAAAAACAAACAGAAAAGATTACCTTTAATCATTGCATAATATTTCAGTATATATAGCATAGTCAATTATTTATTCTCTTTTTAAAGACATATTTTCAATATTCTGCTATTATAAAAATACCACAGGGAATTTGTTGCAGAATATATATGTATTAAGAACCAAAAAAAAAATATATATATATATATATTTTTTTTGAGACGGAGTCTCGCTCTGTTGCCCAGGCTGGAGTGCAGTGGCTGAATCTCAGCTCACTGCAAGCTCTGCCTCCCGGGTTTACACCATTCTCCTGCCTCAGCCTCCCCAGTACCTGGGACTACAGGCGCCCGCCACCTTGCCCAGCTAGTTTTTTGTATTTTTTAGTAGAGACGGGGTTTCACCGTGTTAGCCAGGATGGTCTCGATCTCCTGACCTCGTGATCTGCCTGTCTTGGCCTCCCAAAGTGCTGGGATTACAGGCTTGAGCCACCGCGCCCGGCCTGGAGAATATATTTTTATATTCATTTCAGAAAATGCCTTTTGGTTGTATTTATAGAACTGAAATTGCAGGGTTGAAGAAGTGAAAACATTTTTTGATGTCTTCATGCATACTGTTGCAGCATGATGTCACACTAAACCTTTGCCAATGTTGAGTATTCTTGTTTTTAAAATAATTTCTAATTTGATGAACTAGAAATCAGAATCTCAATACTATATTTATTAGTCATCTACAGCCCCTCTTTTGTGAAATGTCATGTCCTTTGCTTATCTTTGGGATCTCAAATGGTTTTTCTTCTTATAGTTTAAATTTTTATTGCAATGTAGCCCAAGCTGGACTTGAACTCCTGGGCTCAAGCAATCTCCCTGCCTCAGCCTCCCAAGCAGCTGGTACTGTGGGTGTGCACCACTGTGCCTGGCCATTTTTCTTCTTCTATTTTTTATTTTATTAGTATTTATTTATTTATTTATTTGAGACAGAGTCTCGCTCTGTCACCCAGGCTGGAGTTCGACAGGATCTCAGCTCACTGCAAACTCTGCCTCCTGGGTTCAAGTAATTCTCATGCCTTGGCCTCCCTAGTAGCTGAGATTACAGGCGCCCACCACCATACCTGGCTAATTTTTGTATTATTAGTAGAGACGGGGTTTCACCATGTTGGCTAGGCTGATCTCGAACTCCTGACCTCAAATGATCCACCTGCCTCAGCCTCCCAAAGTGCTGGGATTACAGGCATGAACCACTGCGCCCGGCCATTTTTAAAATATGAGCTTTTAATTTACTTGAGATATTTACCTTTTTTCATATTTGTTGCAAATGTCTTTGGTTGAGACGCTCTGGAGTCAGACTTGCATGTGAATGCATTCTGACTTCACTACCTCCTACTTGTGTGATACTGGGTAAATTACCATAAAATGGAGATAAGAATAGTTGATTAAAAAAAAAAAATGTAGAGAACTTTTTAGCTCCCTTGAGGCTGGGCTGCGCTATTCTAAGGGGGACTCCGAGCCTGGGCTATTTCTGGCGCTGGCGCGGCTCCAGGAAGGCATCCGCATTTGCAACCAGCTGTGGCAGCGGTGGAGCCTGGCCGGGCCTCAGCGCCCAGCACCGCCGCTCCCGCCAAACCGGAGCATGCACCACAGGCTGGCGGCCGAGTTCGCCCATCCCAGCCATCACTCTTCCACCTGCTCCTTAGAGAAGGGAAGATGAGCAAGTCAAGCTCAAAGTCCAGCCAGTCCTTGGCCTCCAAGCAGAAAAAGGACGGCACTGAGAAGCGGGGCCGTGGCAGGCCCCACCAGCAGCCTCCGGTGAGTCCCGGGACATCGCTGGTATGGAGTCAGAAGGAGCCCAGCGAAATGCCAACACCTAAGAGACCTCGGGCCGACCAAAGGGAAGCAAAAACAAGGGTGCTGCTAAGACCCGGAAAACCACCACAACTCCAGGAAGGAAACCAAGGGAAAGACCCAAAAAACTGGAGAAGGAGGAAGAGAAGGGCATCTCGCAGGAGTCCTCACTGAAGGAGCAGCTTCCTTCTGGGACTGGACAGCTTTGATCCACTCCCACCCCGCCACACCCTCCACCCCCTGCCGACACCCACCATCACCACCGCCTCCTGCCACCACCCCCATCTTCCACCTGCCCCTCACCACCACACTACACAACACACCAGCCGCTGCAGGGTCCCTATGGGCTGAGTGGGGAGGACTTTTCCCCTGGCCTGTTCCCACCCTTAACCCCCACCCACGCACTCATACATATGTGCCCTCCTGGACAAGGCTAATGTCCCACTTAGTCGCACCCTGCACCTGCTGCGTCCCCACTCCCTTGGTGGTGGGGACATTGTTCTCTGCGCTTTTGGTTTGGGGGCCACCTCTCTGCTCCTTCACTGTTCCCTCTGGCTTCCCATAGAGGAGCCTGGGAGGGCTCCCCTGGCCTTAAAAGGGGCCCAAGCCCCCATTCTGGCACACCCCACTCCACTGTCCTGGCAGCAGCAGGTGTGGCCAATGGAGGGGGGTGCTGGCCCCCAGGATTCCCCCAGCCAAACTGTCTTTGTCACCATGTGAGGCTCACACCTTTCATCCTTCCCCACCTTCCCTAGTCCCTGCACTAGATTGGGCAGCCCCCATTGGCTACAGGAAAGCAGGAGGGGTGTGACTCCCCTACTCCCTCTTTGCAGTGGCCCCAGCCCCCTTACCCTCTGCCTGGGTACTGAGTGCATATTGCAGTGATGGAGATGCAGTCACCTATTGTCCAGGTGAGGCCCATGAGCCCTGTGGCAGCCACCTGAGGTGGGCTGGGGCTGCTCCCCCAACCCTACTTTGCTTCTACCACTTGGCCATTTCCCCCTCCTCAGATGGGGCACCAATAACAAGGAAACCACCTTTCCCACTCCCAACCCTCCTGCTCCTGCCACCCCCCAAGGTTCTGGTTCCATTTTTCCTTTGTTCACAAACTACCTCCAGACAGTTGTTTTGTTTTTGGTTCAATGTTCCATTCTTTGACATCCGTTATTGCTACTGCTACCAGCGCTAAATATTTGTTCATCCACATTGCCTCCTGCTCTGCACATGATCCCCTCCCCCAAGTTACTCTTCGTGGGGAAGAGGGGCTGGGGCATGGCAGGCTGGGTGACCGACTACTCCAGTCGGGGTCCTGCCCCTAGGATGCTGCCGCAGAGGGAGCAAGGGGGCCCGAATCCACCATAAAGGGTGTAGGGGCCACCTCCTTCCCCTGGTCTGTCAGGGATGGGTAGCCATTATTTGTCCCAGCCTGGGGCTCCCCCTCTGATTTCCTATTTGCAGTTACTTGAATTTAAAAAAAAAAAAAAATCCTTTTCTGGAAAACAAAATGTAGAGAAGACTCTAAATAGCACCAATAATTCCAAGACTGTTTACTGAATTGTCTTTCTCAAGTACTTTGAACACTGAAGAATTTTGAACACTTTGCACTGGTATAAGGGCCATGAAGTTAAACCTTCACATTGCCTGAGTTTGCTCACTGTGTGCTCCTAAGCAAGGATGGTTAACTTCTGTCAGACTTCAGTTTCTTTCTTCTTTTTCTTTTCTTTTCTTTCTTTCTTTTCTTTTTTTTTTTTTGAGACGCAGTCTCACTGTCGCCAGGTTGGAGTGCAGTGGCGAAATCTGCTCACTGCAACCTCCATCTCCCGGGTTCAAGCAATTCTCCTGCCTCAGCCTCCCCACTTCAGTTTCTTTATCTGTCAATTGTGGTTAGTGGGCTGTTAATGAAAATTATTAGGTGAAACATCTATTAAGTATCAGTCACATATGGGCTCTTCCTCAGTTGGCCCTTTTCCTTCCCACTAGACAACTGGAGAAAGCTTCCTTCTAACCTACAGCTGCTCTTACGTTCCACTTCTTGGTTTCCTGCTCTGACTGCCCTGTTTTGTTCTCACAGAGGCAGGAGAGGCAGGTCCGAGACCGCGGGGTGACCCGGTCCAAGGCGGAAAAAGTACGGCCGCCCACTGTGCCAGTGCCGCAGGTGGATATTGTGCCTGGGCGGCTCAATGAGGCCGAGTGGATGGCGCTTACCGCCCTCGAGGAGGGCGAGGACGTGGTAGGGGACATCTTGGCCGACTTGCTGGCTCGAGTCATGGACTCTGCTTTCAAAGTCTACCTGACTCAGCAGGTGGGCCGGGATTCGGGTCCTTCAGACTCATTTCCTCCCTCTCCCGCCTCTCCCTGCCGACCTGAGACCCTCTCTCGCCTCCGCAGTGCATTCCATTCACCATCAGCCAGGCCCGAGAGGCCATGCTGCAGATCACGGAGTGGCGCTTCCTGGCCCGAGACAAGGGAGAATCTGCAGTGGCTGAGGACCCCACATGGGGTGAGGACGAGGAACCTTCGGCATGCACGACAGACTCCTGGGCTCAGGGTTCAGTGCCCGTGCTGCACGCGCCCACCTCGGAGGGCCTGGAGAACTTCCAAGGCGAAGTACACTCCTCAGGAACCTCTCCGGTCTCCTTTGCCCCTACTCCTGCTCTCCCCTTTCCGACATCTCACTGTCCGAGTGCATTTCCCCAGGACCCTGGGGGCGTGGACCAGATCCCTTTAGGAAGGTCGTGGATGGGTCGAGGCTCCCAGGAGCAGATGGAATCTTGGGAGCCTTCTCCAGAGCTGAAAGTCACCTCGGCCCCTCCTGCTACGTCAGAGCTGTTTCAGGAGGCAGGGCCCGGCGGTCCTGTGGAGGAAGCGGACGGCCAGTCTAGAGGCCTCTCCTCGGCCGGGTCCTTGAGCGCGAGCTTCCAACTGTCGGTGGAGGAGGCGCCTGCGGAGGATGCCGACCCTTCTCTGGAGCCGTACCTGGTGGCCAGCTCCCAGGCCTTAACCGAGAGGGGACAGCCGCTGGACTTCCATTTGTCATTGGAGGACCTCTACTGTTGCATGCCCCAACTGGACGCGGCTGGGGATCGGCTGGAACTCAGGTCGGAGGGGGTGCCCCGCATTGCCTCGGGCGTGTCGGAGTCCTGCCCCTCTGTGGGCGGCGCCACCGGCCCCTCGGCGTCCTCCCAGCAGCAGCCGGCCGGATCCTCGGATGTGCGGCTGAGCGCCCAGCACCACAGGATGCGCCGCAAGGCGGCCGTGAAGCGCCTGGACCCTGCGCGGCTCCCGTGCCACTGGGTGTGCCCTGTGGCTGAGGTCCTGGTCCCAGACTCTCAAACACGCCCCTTGGAAGCCTACCGCGGATGCCAGCGGGGCGAGAAGACCAAGGCCCGGGCCGAACTCCAAGCCCTCGGCCCCAGCACCCGTGTCTCCCCGGCAGCGTTCTTCCCTCTCCGGCCAGGCGTTCCTTTCCGTGCCTTGGACTCGGACCCCGCACTCCAGTTCCCCACTTTAAATTTAGGCCTATCGTCGCCATCCTTCAGGTCAAAGCTGTCACTCCCCGACTCCAGGATCCGCTTCCTCACCGCACACCCGGTGCTCCCTGATGTGGCCCGCAGCCTTAGCCCCAAGCTGTGGCCCAGTGCCAGGTGGCCCAGCGGTTGGGAGGGGGAGGCCGAGCTGCTGGGCGAGCTGTGGACTGGCCGGACCCGTGTGCCTCCACAGGGTCTGGAGCTGGCAGACAGGGAGGGCCAGGATCCTGGCAGATGGCCTCGAACCACACCCCCGGTCCTTGAAGCCACTTCCCAGTTGATGTGGAAGCCGCTGTTGCTGCCAGAAGCCCTGAAGCTGGCCCCTGGTGTGAGCATGTGGAACCGGAGCACCCAGATGTTCAGCTCTGGTGTGCCTGAACAAGAGGACAAAGAAGGTAGCACCTTTCCTCCCGTTGAGCAACACCCCATCCAGACAGGTGCCCCAAAGCCCCAGGTGACCATAGCACAGCTAATGAAGAACTCAACCCCCAAAGTGTGGTCACACTCCTCTAAGCCCGCTGCCTCACTCTGATCCCTTAGCCTCTGGCAGTGGTAACAGGCCCCTCCCTCTGCTTGCCAGAAATAAACACCTGAGTTGCCTTAGGAACTAGTCTGATGTCTCTTGTCAGTTTCTTCCAAGGGTGTCCACCCTCTCACTGAACTCCAAGGGGAGCAGTTATCCTGCAGGCCTAGAAGAAGATAGAACCAGGGTTCAGGAAATAATCCTCTCGCCACCCTTAGGAGACCCTGCTTTAGAGCCAAAACTGGCCCATCGCAGAGGTATTGTAGAGAAATCCCCGTCCTCCAAAGGAGTACACATAAGGGCTGCCAGTGGGTCTGGCTCTGTAGAGAGAACTTGGAGTCTCCTTTCAGTAGGGGAGGAAGGAGATGGCCCTGCATAAGCAAAGAGTGATTCGAGATATGAAGAACTTGATTTCTTGCTTCCCCGGTCCCTGGAGCTTGGTCACTTCACCTTAGACTGCAAATCCAAATTTCACTTTTGGAGTTAAGGAGGAACTCTCAAATTCAGACAGTATATTGAACAAACTCAAGAGTCAGTGCCTCCTTAAATTTTATCTCAGGCTCCACACCTGCCTCGTTGCTGGTCTCCACTCTGCCCAGATTTATCCTGCACCCACTTCCTCCTACAGCATTTCCCCAGCAGGCCCAGGAAGTTTCTGCTGTGTTGCTGTGGGCTGCACTCAGCATCCTAGTCTGGGGCGCTGGCTCTGTCTTCCTTATTCTGGTCCTCCTGCTTCAACTATGTGTGCAGCTCTGGCAGAAGTCTCATCCCTGGGACCTCCAGCGCTGCTCCGCAGATCTGACTGGGAAAACAGCCATAGTGACTGGGGCCAACAGTGGTGAGTGCTCCTGCCACCCTGAATCCTCACTGTGGTCCTCAGCCTACAACAACTCTCACAGGGAAGGCAGGGAGAAGGATCCACTGTCAACACCCTGGTTCCTCCCCTAGAGTGTCCCTTATTCACTGTAGTCACCACCCAGCCAAAGCTATCCTCCCACAGGCATCAGGAAGGTTGTATGCCAGGACCTAGCTCCGTGTGGGGCCCAAGTGATCCTTACCTGTCAGAGCAGGGAATGTGGACAGTAAGCCCTGGCTGAGATTCAAGCAGCCTCAAACAGTAACGGCCTCCTGCTTGGTGAGGTGGACCTTAGCTCCATGACCTCTATTTGGAGCTTTGCCCGGAGGCTTCTACAGGAGAATCCTGAGATACATCTGCTGGTAAACCATGCTGGTATGTGCCTTGGCTTGCTTCTCCAAACACCTTTCTGCAGCCTCCTTTCTAGCTCAGGAACCCTAAAACCCTCAAAGCCTAACGTATGCAATCTCACCAGAACACTCTAATCCATACCCTCCCCTAAAAAGCCAACATTGAGTTATAGCCTTAAACTTCATTGCCCCCATCTTTGCATGTACGTGCCCCTGTGGCATTTCTGCTGAAGGTAATATGTCCCTACCAGACCTTGTCTCCCTCAAGGTGGTCCCTTTATCACTCAATGCCAGTGTTTTCATTTCCTCCCAGGATTCCCCAAGACACTTACCCCAGAGGGCCTGGATCTTACCTTTGTCACTAACTATGTTGGGCCCTTTCTGCTCACAAATCTACTCCAAGGTAAGGAAGGATGGGCACCTTCTGTGCTGCCCCCTTCCCTGTACCCCTGGCATTCTAGTGACTATCTCCCAGGACCACCTCTTGCCTCTTGGCACCCAACTGCTTGCTGAGTGGTGACCCAACACACTTTTTGTGTTACACATCAGGGAGGCCCAGCTGGCACAAGCCAGTATTAGAAGGCTGGTAGAAGAATCATTCAGCCCAAAATATAATCAGCAAGGGGATATGAGATCCCAGATCTCCTTCTCCCATCCCCTAGTTCCAGCCAGACCAGTAGAGTCAGTTTTTGCAACGAAGGCTTCTTGAGGGAGATACTAGGCATCAGAAACAGAGAAAGCAAGAAGACCCAGTTTATTTTCTCAGGGTCGGCCAGAGGTGTAGGCCATACAGGTGATACAGTTGATGCATTACTGCCTTGGGCCTAAGTCCTTTGAAAAGGCCCTTTCTGATTGAGAAAGTTTGGCTCCTCCGGGGAAAGGTTCGGGGAGTGGGTGGCAGGCACATTCTCCCGGATGTTTTCTCTTAAATTGTAGAATAGCCCCTTTATTATTTTTGTTTGTTTTTTTTTTAAAAAATTACTCATCTCCTTGCAATGTGATAGCCTCTTTAAAAGAAAAGCATTTTTTTTTGGGGGGGGGTCAGGTAATACATATCCAAAGTACAAAATTGAAAGTGTACAAAAGGATATAGAGAGTTTTTTTTTTTTTTTTAACTATTTTTCTCTTCTTATACATCAACCACCTGTTTCCCCGCCGAGAGGCAACTCAGGGTCTCACGTATCGTTTCGTGGTCAACTAAATTAATCCCAACTGGAAAGTGAACAAAGGCAAAACTCTATGCACCTGCAAGTATGATTGTTTTTGTCCCTTTCCACAAATTGTAACATGTCATGACACTATCTGCATCTTGCTTAGTGACAGTTTCTTAAACTTCTTTCCTGTCTCCTCTTCTCTAATCTATTATCCCCACTGCCACATCTAGTAATCACTTTTCATCATGACACTTTCTTGCTTAAAATCCTTTGAAGGTACCCCTCTCCTTTGTAGGATGAACTCTAAGCCCCTTCTCTACACTTAGAAGGCCCTGTGCTAGGCCGGGCGTGGTGGCTCATGCCTGTAATCCCAGCACTTTGAGAGGCTGAGGTGGGCTAATCACCTGAGGTCGGGAGTTCGAGACCAGCCTGACCAACATGGAGAAACCCCATCTCTAGTAAAAATACAAAATTAGCTGGGCATGGTGGTGCATGCCTGTAATCCCAGCTACTCAGGAGGCTGAGGCAGGAGAATTGCTTGAACCTGAGAGGTGGAGGTTTCAGTGAGCTGAGACTGCACCATTGCACTCCAGCTTGGGCAACAAGAGTGAAACTCTGTCTCAAAAAAAAAAAAAAAAAACCCCTCCACTGGCTGAGAGCCTTGCCTTTTGCCCTTCCTTAGCCCACCTCCTAGTCTCCAGCCAGGCAATCTGCGGCTCTTGGACCATGGTCTGTTTTTTTTTTCACCCTCTCGCTGTGTTTTTGCACATATGGTTCCTTCTACCCGGAATATCCTTTCTCATCGTGTTGGCCTGGCTAACTTTAGTTCACCTGCCAAGATGCAGCACAGATATCACCTCTGCTGTGGATCTTTCCACAACCTTCACCTCCCCCAGTCACCCCCATTTACTGGGCTCCATTAGCCCCCTTGGACACATCTCTGTGACTGCACTGATGTTGCTCTGTGAGGATCCGTCTCTCCAACTGAGCAGAGAGTGCTTTTGGTCTCTATGTCACTGTCTGCAAATTTAAAGTCCATTGTCTTCTTTAAGAATAATTTTCTTTCCAGCAAATTTTGGCTAAATACCACCTGCTCAGTTTTTCATTTGTAATTTGTAATTTTTAAATTTTATTTTGTATTAATTTTTTTTTCCTGGGGAGACAAGGCGCAGGTGTTGGAAGCAGCCCATGCAGCAGGCTGGCCTCCTGCTGAGTGATTCTTAATTTCAGTGTAAGCCTTGAAATAGTTTTAGCATTTTAAAAACAATACTGTAAACTGATATGTGACAACTATTTTTTATACTTTATATAATCCAGCCTTTTTTTTTTTTTTTTTTTTGAGACGGAGTTTTGCTCTTGTTTCCCAGGCTGGAGTGCAGTGATGCGATTTTGGCTCACTGCAACCTCCATCTCCTGGGTTCAAGCGATTCTCCTGCCTCACTCTCCCGATGAGCTGGGATTATAGGCGCCCAACACCACGCCCGGCTAATTTTTTGTATTTTTGCTAGAGACGGGGTTTCGCCATGTTGGGCTGGCTGACCTCAGGTGATCCACCTGCCTTGGCCTCTCAAAGTGCTGGAATTACAGGCATGAGCCACCACACCCGGCCAATCCAGATTTTTTTGTATACTTACTGATATGGTTTGGCTCTGTGTCCCCACCCAAATCTCATCTTCAACTGTAATCCCCACATGTGGAGGGAGGGACCTGGTGGGAAGTGATTGGATCATGGGGGCAGTTTCCCCCATGCTGTTCTTGTGATATTGAGAGAGATCTCACAAGATCTGATGGTTTTAAAAATGGCAATCTTCCCCTGCCTGCTCTCTGTCTCACCTGCAACCATGTAAGACATGCCTTGCTTCCCCTTTGTCTTCCGCCGTGATTATAAGTTTCCTGAGATCTCCCCAGCCATGCAGAGTTGTGAGTCAATTAAACCTTTTTTGTTTATAAATTACCCAGTCTCAGGTAGCATCTTAATAGTGGTGTGAGAACAGACTAAAACACTTATGTACTATTTTAAACATCTTTTTAAGATTTAACTTTAAGACTGTAATTTTGTTTTTGTTTTTTAATATTAAACTTGTCAATAGTTTTCCAGTGATGGCCTTCCCTAGCTTTGTTTCTTTAAAAATATTTTTTCAAGTATCACTGCACACATATTTCTTTTCCCCAAAACCTAGCACCCTTATGTCCTTAACACCTAGCTTAGTGTCTGCCATATTCCAGGTGCCTAATGAACATTTGTGGGATGGCTAAATGAAGGAATTAATGTATAAATACATGAAAGCAACTTTCACAGTGTTTCCAGCTTCTCCTTCCCCTTCTTAGCCATCAGTGAAATAAAATATATAAATGAGGATCAATTAAGTTAGCTTCAACTAGCACGTACAAGAAAAGCAAGGCAAAACTCTAAACACTAATATGAAAGAAGAAAAAGATCATTAGGAAGGCAGCTAATAATGAAAATGAGGTCCCAGCTAACATTAAGCTCTCCTATGCCTAGCCCAGATTTCTGGATAGGGGCCCCACTGCCCCTTCTTAGAGAGCCCTGCTCTCCTATCTTCTGGAGAAGCAGGTTGGGGAGTGAGCATGGGAGTTTACTCTAGAACTTGGATTGAAGGAGTATGGTCCCTCTCATCTCTACCCAGGGCCCCTACATCTGGCAGAGTCAGCCCCAGGGGTGAATGTGTCTTCTGTTCAGTATGCACATGGGTACATTGATGAGGGGCACCTGACAGGCTGGAGGCCCTTCGACCTTTAACCAAAACTATGACTGCAGCAAACTGCTATTGACTTCATTCACTGGAGAGCTTGCCCAGAGACTTCCAGGAACAGGTAACTGCCTCTGACACCCCTTACTCCACTCCCAGCACCACCTCCCAACCTTTCGCATCTCCTTCCAACATGTCCTGGCCATAAAGTACTCCCAATGTGCCCCCAAACCAGGATTTTATTCCACTCCAACTATCATCTGTGTACCCTCTATTTCTCTCAATCCTGTATTCACATCATTTCAACCTGTTCCCATTCTTTCATCTCCCACAGTATTTCTTTCCTGCTGGTGTTTTCAATACCAGCATCATCCATCGTGTTCCTCCTGCAGTTCACCCAACACTTCCAATACCTATTCTTCCTTACTGGCTTGGATACCATTAAGGTAAGCTATGGAGCACCAGTGTCCCCTGCACCACCCTCAAGTCGCTGGTCAACACTACCAAACAGACTTGGAAGGACCCTTCCCTCATTTGCATGCTGCTGAACTACACTTAACCCCTTTTTTTTATTTTTTATTTTTATTATTTTTTTTGAGACGGAGTCTCACTCTGTCGCCCAGGCTGGAGTGCAGCTCACTGCAAGCTCCGCCTTCCAGGTTTGCACCATTCTCCTGCCTCAGCCTCCCGAGTAGCTGGGACTACAGATGCCTACCACTATCCCCGGCTAATTTTTTTTTTTTTTTTTTTTTGTATTTTTAGTAGAGACGGGGTTTCACCGTGTTAGCCAGGATGGTCTCGTTCTCCTGACCTCGTGATCCGCCCGTCTCGGCCTCCCAAAGTGCTGGGATTACAGGCTTGAGCCACCGCGCCCGGCCCCACTTAACCCCTTTTATCGGTCATCCTCCTCTCTCTTCACTTTGCACTCTCCTTGTGTCTCACCTTCTTAGGAATGACTGTGAATGCTGTGGAGCCCGGTGTTGTGTACATGGGGATTATGAAGCATTTCTCTCAGCCGTACCGCTTCTTCTTCTGGCTTGTCAGCTTCTTCATGAAGGTGGGTCGGGGAGAGAACTGATTTGGCCTAGAGGAATGGGGCAGGGCTCAACTTCTCAGTGTGTCCCAGCAGGCCAAAGTTTGCCTGGCATGACTTCTTTTTTGCTCCTCCCTCCCAACAGGATCTCAAATAAAGTGTATTCCCAGTCCTCTACTTGAGCTTGGCAGAGGAGCAGGATGGTATTTCTGGAAAATATTTCAGCAGTTCCTGTGTGATAACTCTTCCCATTAAAGCCTCTCAGGATCCTCATGTTGCCCAGAGCCTCTGTAATGCCTCAGTTTGACTGACAAGCCTAGTCAAGACGGACTGACCCTCTGTGACCTCTGCCCTAACTTGCCACCCTTCCTCTAACTTCCAGCACTTACTCTGATTATGCCCTTTGTTTGCTGGCTTCTAGGACCAATCATTGTCCAATATAATAACCACTTCCTCTGCCTATTGGCTTACTGATGACTTGAAAGCCAAGAATAGTCAGGGGCCAGCTGTAATCCCAATGCTTTGGGAGGCCGAGGTGGGCAGACTGCTTGAGCTCAGGAGTTCATGACCAGCCTGAGCAACTTGGTGAAACCCCATCTCTATGAAGAAATACAAAAATTAGCTGAGCAGAGTGATGTGTTCCTGTGGTCCCAGTTACTCAGGAGAGTAAGGTGGGAGGATTGCATTGAGACCAGGAGGTCAAGGCTGCAGTGAGCCAAGATTGCGCCACTGCACTCCAGCCTGGGTGACAGAGCAAGACCCTGTCTCAAAAAGAAAAAAAAAAAAAGAATAATCGACACAGTTTAATCTTCCACTTTACTGCCAGTTCGCTGGTGGAAGTACTCATCCTTTAGGCACTAGGATCTCCCAACCTACCGAGTGTCATGGCGGGTTGTGGTGACTTGAAGTAAAACTCCTTCCAGGGAGCGTTAGGGTTACCAGTAAGAAGGGAAACTTTCATTTGTACCTCTTGATTCCCAGACCTGTGCTTCTTGCCTATGGGGAAGACAGCCCCACACAGTGACCTCTGGATTAAGCCATATACCACATCCTATAGCACAGCACCCCAACCTCGTAGGGTGTTGTCTCCCAGCTAGTAGTATACTGAGCCTGCTCTGGGTGATCCAGTTAATTTAGGGAGTATAAGCCCATTGCTCCTTTTCTGGGATCCTTGTTCATATATATAAATTTTAGAATCAGCTCTTTGAATTTCACACACACACACACACACACACACACCCCCTGTTGGGGATTGCATTGAATCTATAGATCTACTTGGGAGGATTGACATTTTTATGAGACTGAGTCTTCCCAACCGTGGACAAGGTTGACTCATATCTATTTAAATCTTCTTAATACCTGTACAAAACTTTAAATAATTTTATCCACAAAGATCTTGCACAGAAGTTTTACTGCATTTATATTCAGGCACTCTCATTTTTATGCTATTATAAATGATATTTTAAAATGTGTATATCTGTTGATGGCTGTGTGAAACCTCAGTTCTTAGTTTAAAAGAATTTAAACACGGGACACACAGCAAAAGAAGTGCAGCACAGAGTATTTATTGCAAAAGAAAAAATATTTTGAAAGGTAGGTGCAGAACAGGCAGTACACCGAGAGAGGGAGAGAATTCAGGGCAGGCTGCTTATAAGGATGAGACAGCAAAGACTGGCACTAGCGAGACTCCCTTTATGGAAGTCTGACATGATTATTCATGAGGTGGCAAGAGGTGTTACTAGTAAGCATGTTCTGGGTGGTCCTCTGGGTGTGGATGCTCAGTAGCTGTATATGCTTGTTCATATGTCACATGTCTCATTAGCATCTTCAATATCCAGGGGTGTGCTTTTTACTAATAAAATGAGCAACAGGTCAGTTTGAGGACAGGTAAAATCAAACTGCACATGCTGTCTACAGGGGAAATTCCCTACTGAGGATAGCTTTGCTTGAATGAGCTCAGTTACAATGCATATGCTGAGGTTTATTGTGTTGATTGTACAGTCACCGCTGTTGCTGCCTTGATTACTTGGTCACTTCCTTGACTACCTCTCCTGCCTCATATTGATCTTACATCAAACAACTTTATGAAGTTATCTAATTCTAATAAGTTATCCATAGATTCTCTTGGTTTTTCTACATGGAAAATCACATCATCCAGAAATAATCACAGTTTTATTTCTTCCTTTGTAACTATTCTAACTCATATTTCTTTTTCTAGAAAACCGTAATAGATTTTCTAGTATTGAAACAACCTTACATTTCTGGAATAAACCCAGCTTTGTAATAGTGTTACCTTTTTTTTTTTTTGAGACGGAGTCTCCCTCTGTCGCCCAGGCTGGAGTGCAGTGGCTGGATCTCAGCTCACTGCAAGCTCCGCCTCCCGGGTTCACGCCATTCTCCTGCCTCAGCCTCCCGAGTAGCTGGGACTACAGGCGCCCGCCACCTCGCCCGGCTAGTTTTTTGTATTTTTTAGTAGAGATGGGGTTTCACCATGTTAGCCAGGATGGTCTCGATCTCCTGACCTCGTGATCTACCCGTCTCAGCCTCCCAAAGTGCTGGGATTACAGGCTTTTTTTTTTTTTTTTTTTTTTTAAAGAACTTTTTACTATGTTCGTAAAGGAGATTGGCCCAAATAAATAAGATAAAAATAAAAAATAATAAATAATAAAGGAGATTGGCCTGTATTTTTCCTTATTTATGTTGAAATTGCCTGGTTTTGCTGTTATGAGTAATTTTTTTTTTTTTTTTTTTTTAGACAGAGTCTCTCTCTCTCGCCCAGGCTGGAATGCAGTGGCGCGGTCTAGGCTCACTGCAACCTCCGCCTCGCGGGTTCACGCCATTCTCCTGCCTCAGCCTCCCGGGTAGCTGAGATTATAGGCGCCCTCCATCACGCCTGGCTAATTTTTGTTTTTTTTTTAGTAGGGACGGGGTTTCACCGTGTTAGCCAGGATGGTTTCCATCTCCTGACCTCGTGATCCGCCCACCTCGACCTCCCAAATTGCTGGGATTACAGGAGTGAGCCACCGCCCCTGGCCAACAGTTTTTTTTTTTTTTTTTTTTTTTTTTGAGATGGGAGTTTCGCTCTTGTTGCCCAGGCTGGAGTGCAACGGCGCGATCTCGGTTCACCGAAACCTCTGCCTCCCGAGTTCAAGTGATTCTCCTGCCTCCCGAGTAGCTGGGATTACGGGCATGCGCCGCCACGATCGGCTAATTTTGTATTTGTAGTAGAGATGGGGTTTCTCCATGTTGGTCAGGCTGGTCTCGAACTCAGGTGATCTGCCCGCCTCGGCCTCCCAAAGTGCTGGGATTACAGGCGTGAGCCACTGCACCCGGCCTTTTTTTTTTTTTTTTTTTTAAGATGGAGTCTTGCTCTTGTTGCCCAAGCTAGAGTGCAATGTCGCGATTTCGGCTCACTGCAACCTCTGCCTTCTGGATTCTAGCGATTCTCCTGCCTCAGCCTCCGGAGTAGCTGGGATTACAGGCGCCTGACACCACGCCCAGCTAGTTTTTGTATTTTTAGTAGAGACCGGGTTTCACCATGTTGGCCAGGTTGGTCTCAAACTCCTGACTTCAGGTGATCCACCGGCCTCGGCTTCCCAAAATGCTGGGATTACAGGTGTAAGCCACCACCCACGTACAAATATAGTATTTCTACATCTTCTGGCTTTCGTTGTTATTGATAAATTAATGTTAATCTAACAGTTATTTTGCAGGGACTTTGCCTTTTCTCTTTTGCTCCTTTTAAGATTTTATCTTTGTCATTGCTTTTCTAGTTTCATCGTAATAAACTCACGAATTTATTACATGTGAATTTCTTTTTATTTATTCTGGTGGAAATTCTTCAGATTTCCTGAATCTGAGGATATGTATCTAACCCGTATTACTCTTTTAAATACAATCTCTTTATTAGCTTCCTTCCTTGCCTGCCTGGCTACCTGCCTGCCTGTCTGCCTTCCTTCCTTCCTTCTTTCCTTCCTTCCCTTTTTCCCTCCCTCCTTCCTTCCTTTGCACCCCCCATTTTCTCTCTCTCTCTTTTTTTTTGTTTTTTTTTTGTTTTTTGAGACAGAGTCTTTCTCTGTCACCCAGGCTGGAGTGTAGTGGCACAATCCTAGCTTGCTGCAGCCTCAAACTCATGGCTTCTAACAATCCTCCTGCCTTGGCCTCACAAAGTGCTGGGATTACAGGAGTGAGCCACTGTGCCCAGACCTTTTTCTTCTCTCTCTATAGAATTGCAATTTAGATAAAAGCTAGATCTTCCCACTTTATCTTTTATGTCTCTTAATTTCTCTTTCATGTTTTCCTTCTCTATATACGTTAAAGTTACATTTAAGTTCATTTTTTAAAAGCTCTATTTGGGCCCCCAATTCGAACCTTAGCCAAATTTCTGCAATAGACACTTCTAGTTCAAAAAAAAAGATCTATTTTCCAACTTACTAATTTTTTTCTTCAACCATGGCCAATCTCTTGTTTATTCCATCCAGTAACCTTATGTTACCAATCTTTTTTTTATTAATTAATTAATTTTTTTGAGATGGAGTCTCACTCTTGTCACCTAGACTGGAGTGCAGTGGCGCAATATCATCAGCTCACTGCAACCTCTGCCTCCTGGGTTCAAGCGATTCTCCTGCCTCAGCCTCCTGAGTAGCTGGGATTACAGGTACCCGCCACCATGCCCAGCTAATTTTCGTATTTTTAGTAGAGACAGAGTTTCACCCTGTTGGCCAGGCTAGTCTTAAACTCCTGACCTCAGGTGATCCACCTGCCTCGCCCTCCCAAAGTGCTGGGATTACAGGTGTGTGAGCCACTACGCCCAGCCCATTATTTTTTTATTACTAGATTTTATAATTAGTTATATTCCAATCTACCTGGTCAATTTTGATACTCTCCTGTTCCTTTCTTATATTTTAAATCCTCCTATGTGTTTTAAAAACATACTTAGCTTATTCATTTTATATACTGTAACTGAAAATTCCAGTATCTATAATCTTTGCAGGCTTGAACAGTTTATGGTGGCTTGTTTCCTGTGTTTTTAGTGACTGTAAACTCATCCTTCTTGGAACTATAGCTGTAGAAATTATTTAAGACTGGAATTAGGAATGAGGCAGTCCCTCATTACATTTCGTTTGGCCAGGTTCCCAGGAGTACTAACCAACTTGGTACCACTTAAAATTAAATTTTTGTTTTGGGACTTTAAAAATATATATATATATATATAAAAAATATATTTTCTCTCTATATATTTTCTATATATATTTTTTCTCTCTATATATTTTTTCTATATATATATATATATTTTTTTTTTTTTTAAAAGAGTCTCACTCTGTTGCCCAGGCTGGAGTGCAGTGGCGCGGTCTCAGCTCACTGCAAGCTCTGCCTCCTGGGTTTACGCCATTCTCCTGCCTCAGCCTCCCGAGTAGCTGGGACTACAGGCGCCCGCCACCTTGCCCGGCTAGTTTTTTTTTGTATTTTTTAGTAGAGACGGGGTTTCACCGTATTAGCCAGGATGGTCTCAATCTCCTGACCTTGTGATCCGCCCATCTCGGCCTCCCAAAGTGCTGGGATTACAGGCTTGAGCCACCGCGCCCAGCC